AAAATGTGCACCCGTGCGACGCCGGGACGGGCCGCTAGTAAATAAATAAATAAAAATTTAAATTGGTCCTTAAAAGAAAGATTTCGTTGCGATATGAAATTGCAATTTTTAAAGTCAGTTGTAAAAAAACCAGAATCGGAATCGGCTGCAGTGTTAATTATAAAACACTATTGAAATAGCTGCGTTTGCAAATTATGACGTAAATTTACCACGGGTGAAATGGAATAAGTGTGCTATGTTTCTCTACCATATTTTTTTTTTGATGGATGAAAATGGTATGGTAACCCTGCCTGCGCTAACGGGATACGCTGGCGGAGCACCAGTGAAGGGTGATAGATGAGAATGAAAACAGGCCAGTTAGACTATCATGATGAATTCATCAGGAATTAACCATGATAGTTTCCAGGGGAAACCTCGTGGAGGTCGACCTGGTTGGGTATATTGCTAGCAATGGCATTTTTAGTCTCCATTACTAATAATCCCTTTCCCCCTCTCTACCATATTTTTTTAATGGATGATAATGGAATTGTAACCCCGCCCGCGCTATCGGTATACACCGACGAGGCACCAGTGGAAGATGATAGGTGAGAATGAATGCAGGTTAGTTGGCCCACCATGATGAATTCGACAAGAATTAAACATGATGGCTTCCAGGGGGAACCGCGTGGAGGTCGACCTGAGAGGGCATATTGCTAGCAATGGCGCTGTACAATTCTATTACTAACAATCTCTTTGTATCTTAATTGGTAATTGTGGTGAAGATATAAACAGTAATAGAGATGTCTCCGATGTATCATAGACGTCACAGTGTATACTGTGACACCACGATGGGGTAACTCACCTGCCTTGTCATCTTCACCTGTCATCCCTCACTGGTGCCCCGCCAGTGTATACCGTTAGCGCAGGCGGGGTTACCATACCATTATCATCCACTAAAAGAAACAATCCTTTTCCTCTCAAGTAGGACAATTGGCACTCGCTCCGTATTTCGGAGAGCACGTAAAACCGTCATCCGGTAAGCCACGTCAAAGGCCAACTATTGCGGCCTAAAACACTTGACACTAGAGGGCGCCATCGTCACTCGAGTAGTACCTATTTAGTAGTAATATTTTGTTTTAATGGGTGATAATGGAATGGTAACCCCGCCCGCGCTATTGGTATACACTGATGGGGCACCAGTGAGAGATGATAGGTGATTATGAAGCAGGTCAGTTGGCACATCGTGACGAATTCAACAAGCATTAATCACGATGGTTTCCAGGGGGAACCACGTGGAGGTCGACCTGATAAGGTGTATTGCTAGCAATAGATTCATTAGACCCCTTTACTAACAATCCCTTTCCCCCCTAGTAGTAATATTTGGCAATCCTTTGTTTCTGCCTACCCCAATGATATATAGATATATCTATATTCGTACATTCATAACGCGTCACGGTTTCTACACTAGTGATGTGCCGAGTCAAGCTTATTCGAGTATTAACTCGAATAATCGAATGCCTACTCAATTTTTTTTTAATGTGTGATAATGGAATGGTAACCCCACCCGCGCTATCGGAATACACCGGCGGGGCACCAGTGAAGGATGATAGGTGTGGATGAAGCAGGTCAGTCAGTCCATCGTGACGAATTCAACAAGAATTGTTCACGATGGTTTCCAGGGGGAACCACGTGGAGATCGACCTAAAAGGGCATATTGCTGGCAATGGGGCTGTCAAACTCCATTGCCAACAATCCCTTCCCCCCCCCCCCAACCTTACTCAAATATTAATCCTTCTTTGCATGATTTTTTTATTGGTGAAATAAATCAAGGTAATACAATTCATGTTCAAAATTAAAGGGCAAATGGTTAAAAAATAAATTTGACAGCTATGTTTTTTTTTTCTTCTCCAAAGGACATTAACTTTTTTAAACAACTTAGAATGGCAAACAAGCTGATGGCCCACCTGATGGAAAGTGGTAACCGCTGCCTATAGACGTGAGCAGTACCATGGACGTAACAGAGTATACTGTTTCGCCCATGATACACCCTATGCGTTGCCCTCTGTACCCTGTAAATTCACGCCATATCCCACCCTTCAAACCGAAACACAGCCATGCAAACACAACTGCTTCACGGTAGAAACACGAATGGAACAGAAGCATCCAAGCAAACGACTTTTGTACAAAGTCTCCCTCTGATAAATAGTACCTATAGAAAAAGAAAGAAAGAAAAATATTTATTTAACGCATAATAATAATAATAACAATTACAAACAAAAACATAGTCAAATCAAAAACAAAAAAATAAATTTAAAGAAAAAGGAAACACGAAATGAGCTTGTGTAGTAAGCTAAATAGATATTATGCGACCAAAATGGTCACCACTCAGCTAAGTGTTTAGGCATTTATACATAACGTCTAAACGTGGGGGGAAAGGGATTGTTAGTAATGGAGACTGAGAATCCCATTGCTAGCAATATACCCAGCCAGGTCGACCTCCTCGCGGTTCCCCCTGGAAACTACCATGGTTGATTCCTGATGAATTCATCATGATGGGCTAACTGGCCTGTTTTCATTGTCATCTATCACCCTTCACTGGTGCTCCGCCAGCGTATCCCGTTAGCGCAGACGGGGCTACCTTACCATTTTCACCCATAAAAAACAACGTCTAAACGTTGATTTTCTCTGAAACCAACGGGAGTGGTAAATGACGGTACCGAATAGATATACCTGCTTCTTTATTACCGACGAAGCAGGTACGTAAGTACAGTTTACCTGCTAATTTTTTCATCGCTTTAAGTCCCGATAGTGTATTTAAAATATGTGTAAACATTACAAAAGTTTAAAATTAACACGTTTTTTTTAATAGGCGATAATGGAATGGTAACCCCGTCTGCGCTAACGGTATACGTTGACGGGGCACCAGTGAGGGATGATAGGTGAGGATGAAAGCAAGTCAGTTAGCCCATCGTGATGAATACATCTGGAATTCAGCACGATGGTTTCCAGGGGGAATCACGTGGAGGTCGACCTGAATTAACTAACAGTTAACTAACTTACCTGCACTAGATTACCCGCCAATTAATTATTTTCTCTCTAACTACACTGGGTTGGCTGGAAGAGATCTCTTTTAGAGATAAGCCCTCCCTTGCTAACAAGTTGTTATATATATATATATATATATATATATATATCGTCATATTAGCCTTTAAATGTCCACTGCTGAACATAAGCCTCCCTCTTAGGGGGTTTCGCCAGAAGTTGCCCCCTAACGTAAGAGGCTAAAAGGGCGAGAGATGGGCAGCAGCGTCCCTCAAACCTACCGTCCTAAACCATTATTGCGGTTGATAATCAGCCTGCCAAGAGGATATACGATCACATTCTCATCGATCATCATTCTCATCAATTCTAAGGTCAATGATTTATTTATTTAAACTTTAATGCACAGTAAAATTCTTTGTACATATAGCGGACTTAACTCCGGACGGTGTTCTCTACCAGTCGACCATTGGGCGAACAGAGAAATAAGTAGGCGGTGTATTATTGAATAGAGGAAATATAAAGTGATACTTGGTAAATTCATATAATATATTATATTCATATTCTAGTTAGTGTCTTTGGTAGATCGTATCAGTGGACCAGAGGGAGACTTTGTACAAAAGTCGATTGCTTGGGTACCTCTGTCTTATTCGTGTTTCAACCGTGAAGCAGTTGTATTTGCATGGCTGTGTTTCGGTTTGAACGGTGGGATATGGCGTGAATTTACTGGGTACAGAGGAATAACACCTGAATCCTCAGGAATGGCAACGCATGGAGGGTATCATGGGCGAAACAGTATACTCTGTTATGTCCATGGTACTGCTCATGTCTATAGGCGACGGTTACCACTTTTCATCAGGTGGGCCGTCAGCTTGTTTGCCTCTTACGTTACATCTTTATTTCTGTAACAATTATAATGACAACTGTTTATAGTGCAATAACTGCGATGCGAGACTTGGCATTCTTTTACATTTTATGTTTTCGATGGGATCCATTTTATTTGCTAATAACGTAGATAGATAGATAGATAGATAATGTATTTACATTACTTACAGCACACAAATTACAATACAAACATACACATAATACACAATAAAAGAGATAAAAGAATAAAAATAAAAAAGCACAAAACAAAATATATAAACGTAGTTTTCTACAATTTCGAGTCCTCAGATTCGAGTTGCGATTCGATTTTTTTTTTATCGTTTAGTAAAATATTCGAATATCGATGAGGCCGAGTCGAGACATCACTGCACGTAATTAATTCTTACAACGCCAACTCTTTTCCTGTTACCCCCAGGTCAGATATAGATCTTTTTGTGTGAGCCCAAAGCACAATACATTTTCATTTTGCGTCACATACATACATAATTGTGTATGTTTGCTTAGCGTATTGCGCTCATGTTGATTTTACTTGTTTGTTTGGATTCAAACGTTACTGTTTCATCTGTCACCGAGAAGCTATAATGCCAATATTTTAACCGACTTCAAAATAATTAAATTGTATTAGAAATATGCTCAATGTAATGTGTCGAGTGTTACGTTCACCAGAAATGAATTGAAAACGTGATCATGCAAACAATGCATGATCTGAACCGATACCATACAAGCACACACATCCACGCCGTACTTTGCTCGACCTACCAACTCTGCGGGATTAGGTCAACGACAGTTCATCAAAATACCTAAAAAAAACCCCACGAAACACGTCAAGACTTATACGTGTGATTTTCCCAATGAAAACGTGTAAAAATTAAAAAGTCAGCCAAGTGCGTTTTGGATTAAAGAATAATATAGTTCCGTAGATGTCGTGTTCTTGTTTGAATTTTCACCGATTTCAAAGTGAAATTTTTAATTGGACGGTTATTTGATGTTCTTTTCACGATTTGTTCATATTTTTTTTATGATCCGGATCGAAAGATCATCACTTCTCTGGTCCTTCGAGCCGGATCTTTTAACTCAAATCGTTGTATTAGGTTTTGTTGGCATACATTTCGTTCTCACTAAAAAGGTGGTGGCGCAGAAGAAGTTTCCGCATAAGGTGCCATCGAATGTTCGTCCGCGGAACCCAGAAAAGAAACAATTGTGTGTTAGATCAGAGGCATTAGCATAAATCAGTTGTCCCGCGAACGGGAGAGGCGGTGGTTGTGTCGCGAAATGAGAATGGTATCCGCCAAAGAGTCGGTTCTTATGAATGGTTACAACGACCCGGCGGATAAGTCGGGGGATAGTGATACGGATTTTGTCGTTGCCAACTTGGAAAAAGTGAGGTATGCATACCGCGGTTTTTTTCTTGATTGCCATAACAATAAACAAGTGCCACACGATCACCCCAATGGCCTGTTTTTCAACCTAGGATATGCCGTTTTATGAGGAACCGGGCGGCAACATCTGGAGGTGTAACCCAGAACACCCAGGCTTGACATAATAAGAAAAAAACGTTACTGTGTACGTAAATGGGCCAAATCGGTAATAGAACTCGGTACTTCGTCTATGCAAACCAACGTACAAATTATGAATAATAGTATGCATATATATGTTTACAATTGACTTAAATAAATCTCAATTCGATTATATTTTTATTCGATCCTAGCGGCCCGTCCCGGCTTCGCACGGGTGGACATTTTTACATTTTAAAAAGTGGCCATTAAGGCTGCACACGCGACGGATGCTTAAAAATGGAGTAACTTCTCCAGTTTTCCCAACATTTCCCTTCACTGCTCTGCTCTTATTGATCGTAGCGTGATGAAAAGTATACTATAAGCTGCCCAGGAGTATGAAGAATAATTGTACCAAGTTTCATTAAAATCCGTCGAGTAGTTTTTGTTTCTATAACGAACATACAGCATTTTTGGCATCAGTATCGATCACTAATCACCCGCTGATAGTTATTTTGGAAATATATTTCATGTACAGAATTGACCTCTCTACAGATTTATTATAAGTATAAATTTCTTATCTCTTAACTCCGTCGATTGTGGATCGGTTTGGAAAATTATTTTTTTATCTAAAAGGATATATTTACAGATTGGTCCCGTGGCAATTTTATCGGAAATGGATTCAGTAGTTTAGTTTTTAAATCAAAATAACTGGTTTTACCACAATTTAACTGTTTTTCTTTTTACGAAACACGATCTTAAATAAAGTGCGTTTTTCAAGGCACTTTCTTCCACGCACAACCACTCTTTGGAATCAACTTCCAGCAGCAGTATTTCCGAACCGATACGACAACATAACCTTCAAGAAAAGAGCATATTCCTTTTTAAAAGGCCGCCAGAACACCTGCAATGCCGCTGGTGTTGTGGGTGATCATGGGTGGTGGTAGTCACTTACCATCAAGTGAGCCGCATGCTCGTTTGCTCCCTGTGTTGTAAAAAAAATATTATATCGCTGTGTTACACGATTACGCCGCCAATTTAGAACTGATTTTCATAATTCTTTTTATAATACAAAACGGCTTGCAATGCGTAATTTAAGTTTTTTTTTTTTTTTAATTTTATACAACTTAGAATGGCAAACAAGCTGACGGTCCACCAGATGGAAAGTGGTAACCGTCGCCTATAGACATGAGCAGTACTATGGACATAACAGAGTATACTGTTTCGCCCTTGATACCCCCCCCCCCCATGCATTGCCATTACTGAGAACTAAGGTGTTATTTCTCTGTATCCTGTAAATTCACGCCATATCCCACCCTTAAAACCGAAATACAGCCATGCAAACACAGCATTCGAACCTTATTCGAATTCATTATATCTGTCGTTATACAACCTTGTTTTCTGAAATTAAATAATTTATGATTTAACAAATACTATATAGTTTTTCAACAAACAGTATCGGATAACGTTACTCTTATTGCAGCTGGTTTTTTTTTATGGGTGAAAATGGTATGGTAACCCCGCCTGCGCTAACGGGATACGCTGGCGGAGCACCAGTGAAGGGTGATAGATGAGAATGAAAACAGGCCAGTTAGCCCGTCATGATGAATTCATCAGGAATTAACCATGATAGTTTCCAGGGGAACCGCGAGGAGGTCGACCTGGTTGGGTATATTGCTAGCAATGGGATTCTCAGTCTCCATTACTAACAATCCCTTTCCCCCCTATTGCAGCTGGTTGCGACAATGACATGCGAACACACATGTCAAGCATGTGAGATTTCCAAATTTTATTGACTTTACTATAAAATTCATATACCTAGTTATGAATATTTATATTCAAGAGATAAACCACTTCGCCCTCAGACACGATTACTTCTAAGAACTCCACCACATCATACTCAGGCTTTTGGGAATTCCTTTACAGTTATATCCATTCGACTATGGAATAGTCTGCCATCCGAAATAAGGGAATCGGCAAGTATAGGCATGTTTAAGCGTCGTCTAAGAGAGCATTACTTGTCACTATGCTGACGTATTATGATTGATAGGTAAGAATAAAAAGGCAGGTCAGTTGGCCCATTGTGATGAATACACCTGGAATTCGGCACGATGGTTTCCATGGGGACCATGTGGAGGTCGACCTGACAGGGTGGATATATTGCTAGCAATGAGACTGGTAGTCTGCATTACTAATCAATCCCTTCCCCCCCAGGACAGCAACAAGTATTAATTACAATGGTTTCCAGGGGAATCGCGTGGAAGTCAATCTGGACAGGGCTTGCTAATAATAGCAATGCGGACTACCAGTCCCATTGGTAGCAATATGCCCCGTCAGGTCGAAACTAGCCTGCTCTTTCATTCTCACCTATCATCCCTCACTGGTGCCCCGCCAGCGTATCCCGTTAGCGCAGGCGGGGTTACCATTCCATTATTATACATTGGGGCGGAAAGGGATTATTAATAATGGAGACTAAGAATCCCATTGCTAGCAATATACCCAACCAGGTCGACCTCCACGCTGTTCCCCCTGGAAACCATCATGGTTAATTCCTGACGAATTCATCACGATGGGCTAACTGGCCTGTTTTCATTCTCATCTATCACCCTTCACTGGTGCTCCGCCAGCGTATCTCGTTAGCGCAGGCGGGGTTACCATACCATTTTCATCCAAAAAAAGTGTATATTGACTGGATTCAGATTTTGCACCTGAAACATTTTTTTTTTTACGAAAAATTAAAATTCAATAATCGTACGTAAGACTTGTATTAACAAGTTACCATTGACGCAAATGGTGTTATGTACCTAACACGAAAACATGAAACCGTTCACGAGTTATGTTGTTTTTTTAAACGACTTCCAATCAGAGATTCTCAATTCGTCTGTTTTATTTGTTTGCTATATTACGCTATTACGTCGTCGATTTTTCTTTTTACTACTGGTCGCCCCGTGGTCGATATTCGACCATTACATATATTGTAATTTTAGATTATATAGATAGAGCATCGAGTGTCAAAAAACGTGTCAACTTTTTGTCAGCTAACTGTCAAATTAGCTGACTCGTTGTTTTTATCAGTGTTCTATATACTTACACAGTGTATCTTGACGTATCTATATTTAATTACTTTATATATATATATATATATATATATATATATATATATATATATATATTAGCTGACTCGGCAAACGTTGTTTTATCATATACGTTATTTCTAGAACTATACATGAAAATTTATCCTACTACAATTATTATATTGGATTGCCATCTTGCAACCCTATTGCTATATAAGAATCGCGATTAAAAAACAGGGGTTGATCGTAAAAGGGTTAAAATTTGAAGTTGTATGTATTTTTCAATGCTAAATCATATTTAAAACACAATTATAAATTTTGTCAAAAAAAATATAAAAAAAATATTTAGGGGTAGGTCACCCTTATCATTGACGGGTATGAAAAATAGATGTTGGCCGATTCTCAGACCTGCCCGATATGTACACAAAATTTCATAAAAATCGGTAAAGCCGTTTCGGAGGAGTTTGGTAACAAAGACCGTGACACGAGAATTTTATACAGTGAGTGTAGAAAGTATTCGTACACCTAGGGTTGTAATAAAAAAAATACGAATTTGATAGACTTTCTTTTATTTATCTAATTTAAATCAATACTATTAAATAGTTTAACATTCCCGCACTTAGTTTATGATAATTTTTGTTTTTTAATAAAAAAAATTATACAACATAAAAATATTTTTACGTTAACTAAGCAAATAATGACAAACAAAAAGTATTCGTACACTTATAAAATTTGTAAGTAAATGAATATTAAAAAAATATTAATACTTTGTTGGACCACCGTTAGCATTGACGATAGCTTGGAGTCTCTGCGGCATCGAATCAACTAGTTTGAAAATATAAGAAGACGGTATCAATGCCCATTCTTCGCGAAGCGCAATTTTTAGTGTTTCTTTACTCGAAATTGGTCGATTTCGAATTTTATTATCGAGATAATCCCACACATGCTCTATAATATTAATATCAGGTTATTGAGGAGGAATATCTAGGTATTTTGGAGCGTTAAACAGGATCCATGCTTTAATATTCCATGCTTTATGTTTAGGGTCATTATCTTGTAAAAATATCCAATTATTGTTAAAACCCATTTGAGCTGCACTAGAGAGAAGATTCTCTTTTAAAATATTAATATACGCTTTGTGATCCCTAATTCCATCAATAAATGCAAGTTTTCCCACCCCAAAAGCACTCATGCAACCCCATACAAATACTGACCCACCACCGTGTTTTACCGTTGGACATAAATTTTCTTTCTTATATTCCATATTAGGTTTTCTCCATACCATATGATGTCCATCCGATTTGAAAATATTATATTTCGATTCATCTGAGTAAATAACAGTTTGCCAAAAATGATTTTTTTCATTAATATATTTTTTTGCGAATTCTAATCTTTTTTTTCTATTAATATCATTTACCCAATACTTTTTACGCGCAGTTCTTCCATGATAATCGTTACTACGTAATACGTTCCGAACGGTACTGACAGAAATATGGCAATCATTGATATTATTAATTTCTTGTAACACTCGAGCGGCACTAATTTTTGGATTTTTTTTTACACAATTTAAAATTTTCCGATCCAATCGAGGCGTGATTTTTGATAGACGCCCCACCTCTGGGTTTGTTTTTTAGTGTTTTAGTAATAGAAAACCGATCAATTACAGTCTGTACGGTTGAACGTGGTCTATTGACAAATTTTGCAATTTCACTTAATGATTTGCATTGATTATGCAAATTAATAATTATTTTTCTCTCCTCTTCACTCGTTTCTTTTGCTTTACGACCCATTTTTGTAACTAAACACATCTATACTTGT